ACTTCTGTCAGCCTGTCCACACATGAAGGAGGGATCTGATAGGTTGCTGCAGGTCTGGAAGTGATCCAGACCAGAGCCGAGGGAAGCAGGTTCCCCTTGATGAGGTTTGTCAGCAGCACGTTGAGCGATGCCTCCTGTGTGACATCAGAAAGCAGCTGACTGTTGGTGAAATCCATCTGAAGTCTGCTTTCATCCAGGCCGTCAAAGATGAAGAGAAGTTTACAGACAGCCAGCTTCTCTGCTGGGAGCTTCTGGAGTGTTGGATGGAAAACATGAAGCAGCCTGAGAAGACTGTACTGCTCATCTCTGATCAGGTTCAGCTCCCTGAACGAAAGCAGAACCAGCACAATGACATCTTGATTCTCCAAGCCTTCGGCCCAGTCCAGAGTGAACTTCAGCACCGAGAAGGTTTTTCCAACTCCAGCCACGCCATTGGTCAGAACCACTCTGATGGCTCCATGTTGGTCAGGTAAGGCTTTAAAGATGTCCTGACACCTGATTGGAGTCTCATGGAGGATCTGGGTCTTGGAAGCGGTCTCCAGCTGCCTGACCTCATGTTGGGTATTAACCTCTTCACTCTGTCCCTCTGTGATGTAGAGCTCAGTGTAGATCCTGTTGAGGAAGGTTCTACTTCCTGTTTCATCACTTCCTTCTGTCACACGTTCACATCTCCTCCTCAGACTGATCTGATGTTCATCTAAAACCTCCTGCAGACCAACATCTGAGGAAAAACGTGACAGAGCAGATCTGATTGCTGCAGCAGAAACGCCAACATTTTTATTGGAGCTTAAATCTGACGGATGTTTCTAATGATCTGAACTCTTCAACAATATGGCTGTGTCTCAATTCGTGTTGCAGCCAACGTCGACGTGAGCCGTAGGCTGCTCGTATCGGCTGCATAAACAGCTGTGAATTGGGACRGTCTAGCCTACAGAAGACGTAAGTTTGCGTGGACACTCTGCGTGTCATTACCATGGTGTTATGTCTCCAAATCAGCGGTGAAAAATGGAGCCTGAAAATGCAGTGGTCATTTTTTTTGTTTCTCGAAGAGCTAGGGCTTTTTCTTCGATGTCACAGGCCTTTCATGTATTTTAGGCCGACAGACTGTATAATGTTTAAACTTGATTTATTTTACTATACGTACATTAAATCATTAAAGCTTACCYTCAACGTAATCTAGCTGCAAACATTATAGTTACTGATGTTTGGTGCATTTATTTATCTCAAAAAAAGCATTAAAAATTAACTCAAATGTAGTAACTTCAGTATAGTAAATGGTAATTTACCAATTGAAAACATGTATATTTACTTTGTTATCAACTAGTTTCAGAAAACAGATCTTAAGTAAGAGCCCTAACTCATTTKAGTTACATTTAAATGTAACTACTTGTAATGTACTTGTTACATTTAAATGTAACTTCTTGTAATGTACTTGTACTTGTTCCCTTTAAATGTCCCTAAAATAATTAGTGACATTAAATATAACACTGGTCCTAACCCTAATCCTAATTATGAGACAATTACAAAAAAGATTAGGGCCCGAATTTCAAAATTCTGAGAAAAAAGTCAGAAACATGTGTATCTAAACAAGTAGTTACATTTAAAGAAATTTATGACAGGTCCTTCTCAAAAAATTAGCATATTGTGATAAAGTTCATTATTTTCTGTAATGTACTGGTAAACTTTCAACTTTCACATATTTCAGATTCATTGCACACCAACTGAAGTAGTTCAAGCCTTTTATTGTTTTAACATTAATGATTTTGGCAAAAAGTAAAGAAAAAACAAAAATCCCTATCTCAAAAAATTAGCATATTTCATCCAACCAATGAAAGAAAAGTGTTTTTATTACAAAAAAAGTCAACCTTCAAATAATCATGTTCAGTTATGCACTCAATACTTGGTGGGGAATCCTTTAGCCAGAAATGACTGCTTCAATGCGG